AGATGCTTGGGAGCTTGGGAGTTGGTAATCCCACAAAGTCAATGTCCATTTTTAGTTGTATCAATATCTCTTAATCACCTCCCTCCATCTTAATCAGGAGGAAAGTAAGGAAATAGACAGAACACAGGACTGGGAGGGCTAAAGGAGATTGTGAGGGAGGGTGGATAAAAAAGCATCTTCAGATGGACATCCTTTTCCTAGTCTAACTAGTATCAACAAGAAACCTAAAGTTTTTTGGCTGATAATTTCAGCATATAGGTGGACTTTTCAAGCAACAGTCTGAGTAACACCAATGGTTAGCTAGCTGTATACACTTGAAATCAATCTCGGTACCTTGGTTTTCTTCCCTATAAAATAAAGGCAAAATAGATGCAAAAGTCCTTTCTTTCTAGCCCTAAATGCAATGATACTGGGGGTTCCCATCCCTCGTCCCACATCACAGGAGCCTAACATGCCTAGTTGACCTTTCAGAGAGACGTCTTCAACCAGTTACTGATTCACGCGGCCTTAGTCTCTAGAGCATAGGTTCCCAAGCTTTCTAGGTTCTTGGTACCCTCATTATTTTAGTTATGTTTTCAAAGCAGCTCTAGACCAAGAAATAACAGTTCCACTTATTAAGTTGTTAGTAGCCATTTGAAAAATTAATTTACCTCAGCTGAAAAAAATATTCATTCTTAAATAACCACAATTACTACTTACAGAATGTATATTACGGTGTGTACTGCACAACTTCGCAAATCTTGGAATCAGACTGGACACTATCCTTATTTCCTGTTCCATAATGATTTTCATGCAGTATTTGCATTTTATCACAGCAATCCCCTCAAATTCACAGAGATATGGCATCGAAAGGAAAGTAGTAAAATCTAATTTTGAAACCATGAACTCTCTCAAGCTGGTCAACAGATATCAAGTACTGCTCTATCTCCCTTGAAAATTTAACTACCAGACAGGACCTCTATGAGTTGGTGGCAATACCCTGGAATGCCTTGGTGAAGTTTGGGAAACATGGCCCTATAGCAGTGTTTTATATAATTTTATGGCTTGGACTCAGACAGACCTAGGTTGGAAATCAGATTCTACCAATAACTATATATAATCTTAGGCACTGAGCAGATGAATCAATCTCTTGAACCTTAGTTTCTATGGATGCCAAATAGGAATAATCGTAGCAACTTCAGAGTATACTCATGAGGAATGAGATGTTTGCACATAGTAAATCCTTAATAAATGGTAGCTATTACTATATCATTAAAACCAAACAAGTAGTTTATAAAACCAAATTTAATAATTGACTCTGTGAAGAAGGAAGCATCCTAAGCTAAAGCCACAATGTCAAATGAAAACTTATATAAACAAATTATTAGAGGAAAGATAAAATGCATAAACAAGGGCAATACAGAAAACTATAGTTTCCTCCAAAGGATATCATAATGCTGATACACCTATCACAACAAATGACTAGGTAAGAAGTATTAAAGTGGCAACTCAGGAGAATACATGTATGTTAAAAAGTACCTTTTAAGGGATAATCACATTAGGAAAAAACAAAAGTTTTATAAACTAGGACTCTTTAAACAGCATTACGAACTGCCTTTTAAAAATACTTATATTTATATAGAGCAAAACTCATTTGATTATAACAAAGACTTTTCACCAAGAGCATTAATAGCTCAATATTATACCTGTGCTCAAACACCTTTCTCACAACATGCTAAAAAGTTATTTTAATTTGTAATACACTTGTGTGTCTTCTATCTCACAAACATCTGTAATAAAATTTGTAATACAAGAATATCTGTAAGTGCTGGGTTTATGATCTGTAGGTTAAAGATTTTTGAAACGTTTCATTTGATCCTCAGCTATTACCCAATTTACTGAAGAAACTGAGGTCCATAGAAATTAAGTAATTTGCACTGCAACCTACATATTACATAGTTTAACACTAAACCCTGTATATCTTAACTCTCTCTAATACACCACAACTCCTTCCCAAAAGACTCAGTTCAAATCTTGTTAGTTGGACCAGTATTGTTTTATCAACTATTTCAAGTAGGTTAACCATAATCAAAGTCTTCCTGAAAACCTTTTCCCTGAAAAGTAACAGCATGTCACCTGTAGAGACTTTTCATCTGTCAAGTATCTTGAACTGTAATGTTAACTGTGTAATATTAGTTAATAATTACTCTTAGATCACCTTATGACAAGATCTATTATTATAGTTGCAACTATACCAATGGTAATGCAGTGGCTGAGCCCACTGGTATAATCTCTCAGCGGACATCATTTCCCTTTTTTTACTTAGCTGGTGATCCACTGTTCAACTCTAGATAGAAAGGTAACATGAAGTATTAAACTGACCCTGATATTTTTTCTTCTGTTACTAACATAAACCAAATGCTAAAATACTTAAAAGGAATGGAGGGACAAGCAATCTTGTATACCACCCAAAATACAATGGCATCACAGAAAGTCTATGTCTGCCTTTCAATTTGGTACAAGTAAATTCCAAAAACAATTTACCAGCTATCCCTTTCCCAAAATTCCCATATTTCTAATAGATTATCATTTCCAATGGTAGCCTAAAAGCAACTAAGGGATTCTACTTCACAATGACTATTTCCTTAAAAATTGAATGTAAACACTATTTGATAATGAAATTACTATATTGGGGAGCTACACTTTAAGGGAAATTCTGCAGAAAGTCTTTATATTGTGTAACTAATCACCCTATTTTATATTTCATACACACACACACACATATATATATATATATATATATATATATATATATATATATATTCAGCCTTTTACATGCCAGACTTTAAGGGTAGAGGAGATTTGGGCAGATAAGAGATATAGGCCTGTACCATAACTATTGTATTAATTTGAGTCTCTGGAAACCATAACTTCATTTCCTCTATAGGTAATAATTTTGAAGAACTTCACACTTGGTCCCTTCCTAGCAATGTAAATATACTGTTAACAGAAACTTTATTTCCTTGGAGAATTGAAGAGCGATCCTGCTTTCTTGGAAAGGAAAACAGCTGTCTTGTCCAATACCCAGTCCACTTTGGCCATCTAACACGGAAGAAAAAAAAAAACCTATTTCGAAAACGTTTCTTCTCCAGCCAAGGGCTGTTCCCAGATAAAGGCAATGATCCGAGTACAAAAAACCCTTCTCTTAGGGAAGAAATGTGCCAGAAAAGGAAAGGCATGGATCGGAAATAAATAGGGGGTGAGTGAGTGTACATGCGCTCAGTGTGAGAGCTGGAGGCAGAAGGCGCAGTGTTGAGATGCTCCAACGAGAACCACCAGCAGCAGCAGCAGCAGCAGCAGCAGGAGGAAGTTTCAATGGGGCCGGGCAGAGCATGCGCCCTGCACCCGCGCGGTGGCCTTATGTGGAAGGAGCACCACTTGCGAACACCAATAATAGACCAGCGGCACCAGAGAGAGAAACATGAGCAACAAGCACCTCTTCAACTGTTTCCCCCTCCGTCTGAGCCCCTCCTCCAGCCTACATACTAACCACCCCACCCAACCCTGTAAATGGAAGGGCGACTGCTTCTTCCCCTAAGCCTTGCTGCCAAGATGAAGGGGGAAGGGACTGGAAAAGTGGGGAGATGCTTTTCTATTATTGGGGGGGAGGTGGGGGAGACGAAAACTATGGGGGAGGAGAAATTAACCCTCTACCCTCCAAAGTGGAGAAGCTGAACTGACTTCGCCCCCTAAAGCGAGAATGGAGGAGGACCCCCTCCCACGGGGGAGGAGCAAACCTCCCTACTCCGAGGAAGGAGTTTGGGGGGTTAAACCAGCCCTCGAGTGGAAGCGAAGAGGGACGAGAGCCTACTCTCTCGGGGGACTTCCCACTAGAGGGAGGGAGAGCTGAAGTGTCCGCTGGCCCCCGCCCACCCAGGTGGAAGGAGAGAAAGGGGCGCCCCTAGAAGATGAGCCCAGCCTTCCCCGAGACGGTCGGGAGGATGGTGGGAGGAGGGGAGGGAGTACAGGAGAGGAGGAGGAGGAGAAAAGCGCAAAGCTGGCCGGAACCTGCGCTCCCCTTCCCCCGCCACAGAGAGGGAGAAGGGGTGGGGGACCGGCCTCCGCCGCGAGGTAACAGTCCCACGGGCAGCCCAGCAGCACAATGACCCCTCCCTGCCCCCAGCCCACACCTAGCCCGCGACGCCCCCACCTTCTCCCGGCGCCCGGCCGAGTGGCCCTAGGGGGCCTCCGCCCCGCCTCCCCACTGCCTAAGACCCCGGGGGCAACGCAGAGAAGACGGACCGGGCGGAGCTGCACCTTAGGGGGAGGATGGAGCCGCGGAGCCCCGCGGCGACTGTAAAGAGAGAGAGAAGAAGCGTGCCAGGGCCGCTTCCCGCCGGGCGTTCGGGCCCCTCGCTTACCTTCTCCGTTGCCGACGTCCGGCGGCGGCGCCTGCAGTACCCGCTCCAGCTCGGGGAACGGCAACTCAGGCAGATCGAGCAGCGGCCCGTAGCGCTCCAAGAAGGAGCACACTACGGCGAAGTTGGGGCACGAACCCGGGCAGCCCGGAGGAGCCATCGCCGCCGCCGCTGCCGCCGCCGTCGCCATTTTGAACTGGAGGATGGAGGAGGAGGTGATGGGGGTGTGGGGGGAGCTGGGGCGCCAAGGAATGGCAGGGCAGGCTTACAAACGACAGGAGGCGCTAGCGAGCGGACTCCCCTGCGGATCCGAGCGACTCAGGCACTGCGCCGCGATCCCACAATACAACGGTGGCTGGGAGCAGTCGAGAACAGAGTTAGACTGAGGAAAGAGAGGCGCTCAGTGCCTTTCACTTTCCGCCCGGTTCCCTCCCTCTACGTCCCTCCCACTTCAGGTTCGCTTACAGCCTCGTGTGACAGGGGGAATGAAAACAAGGGAAGCGGGGTAGGGAGGCGGGCTGGAAACTGTAGAGGCGGGACTTTTTAGGAGCGGTGACCAATAGACTCGGAGGGGGCGGGGCTTGGGGCGACGAGTGGCCGAAGGCTTACTCGGGGCGGGGCGACAGGGTGGAACGCCTAGCGTAGAGGGCCTGAACTAACCAAGGTGAAAGGTAAAGCACGGACCCTTTGGGATCGCTACTCCGCGGAGAGAGGTCTTTGGGTGAGTTTTGGGAGGACTTCGGGAACTAAAACTGGGCCACAAGATAGTGGGGGAAGTTAAGGAGAATTAATCAGGAGCAGGAAAAAGAATGGGGAGGAGGCGGGGAGAAGCACGATCTGGAAGCTTGGAAAGGAGAGAGATGCCCTTAACTGGGGGTTGGGATGGGACCTTTGTAAGGAGAAGTCTGCGGAAGTTTGCTAAGGGGTATTGCTGTGGGCTAGCTTACAGGAGTCTCAGCTTTGCTTTCGGAGAAGCAGGGTGTGACAGCTCTGGGGGAGGAGGGCCTGAGGAAAAGGGGCTCTGCGGAGATCACCAGTCTGAGGAGTTGGGGCCCCGCCAAGAGATCAGTCTGAGGGAACCAGCCTCTGCAGGACGACCAAGGTGTGAGAGGACAGGGTTCTGCTGTGGTTGCCAGGGTGTGAGGGCGAGGGGCTCTGATGTGCCACTAGGGCCTGAGAGGACAAGGTTCTGTGGGGGACCAGGGTCTGAGGGTGGGCTAGGACTCCGTCACTAAGAGGGCAACTGTGATAGGAGACTTGGTGGGAGAGCAAAAGTTTGATAGAAGATGGGGCTCCGCTTCTTTGGGGGCAGCAGCAGTGAGCATTCTCCCACGAAGAATCTCCAAAAACCATCAATGATGCAAAATGGAATGTGAAGCTTGGGATGCAACAGTGTTCATTGGTTAGGAGCCTGAGCTTTGGATTCAGTCGGACTTGAGCCCTAACAGAACTGCTTCATGACGTTGCTGAAGATTCTTCATCTCTTTGAACCTCTGGAAAGGGATGATTATAGTAGTACCTACATCACAGGTTTTTCCTATATAGATAATTCACAGTAAATTGATTGGCACAATGCCCTGGCACATTGTAAGTACTTTAAAAATGTTAGCTGCTGCTATTATTGAAAAAAGGAGCTCCTAAAATTTAGATTAAATTCAGCTACAATTTATACAGGTTACTACTTTGAGCCAAAATGTTCAGCATGCATTTAAAACTTATGTAGTACCTACTTCCTAAAAAGAATTTGAAGCAAGGAACAATATAAACCATGTAAAATAGGATAATTTATGATGAAGAGAGATAAAGAGATTTATAGGCAAATAACTGTATTGGGGACAGAAAATGTCTACCACAATTGAATATTGAATTTTGTTCTGTGTTTCTAGATAAAAAAGGGAAAACAATAATGATCTATATCATTCTCATCTCAAGAAAGAATACTCATTTATCAAGAAAAAAATTCTATTGTAAGAGTAATTTATTACCTAAAATATTAATTCCCAATCTAGAATTTTTTTAAAAAAATCCATTTTAATGGAAAAGTGTTCTTTTGAAACTTATCAAATACTTTTGAAAATTCTAATTTAAGGAATACTTGAGTATGTAAGAAATTAAAATCTATACAACGATGTGAATGTACTTCAAGCCATTGAACTATACACTTAAAGAGTTAAAATGGTAAAATATATGTTATGTATATTTTACCACAATAAAAAAAAGCAAAAAAAGTAAAGTCTTACTTTAGGAAAATGTCTATGGTTGTGAATTATCATTGCAAAAGAGATGTTTTAGTTTAATGTGTGGTAAAATATTGTTTTAAGCAACACTGAAAAGAAACACAAAACTAAACTAAAACATATTGGTAGAACTCTCAAACTCCCAAGTATATATCTCTAGACCTGGGGACCTGAAGAACCCAGTTTTAGAAAAAGCTGACCAATAACACATCTTTAATAACAATTTTGCACAAAAATCTTCATAAGATGGTTACTTAGTTGACCTTAAATAAAAGGCAGGTGCACAATATTAAATAAAATCATATCTTTGTGAAGGAATTTTGATGAAAAGAACTTTCAAACCAAAAGAAAGATTGAATTATATCATTGTGAGCCTTACCCTCCACCCGCTTCCTTTCTATTTCTTTGTTTACAGCTTTTCCAGCACCTGCCTCCTGCTCTCCCTTGGGGGTTGTAAAATAACATTCTGACCAAAAATTGAAGCAAACAAAATAAAATATTTATACTATAGTTCTCTTTTCTCCATGCTCACTCTGTTATGCAAAGAGGACTGATAAATAAGGTTAGAGTTTCTGCCTTTGTAAATCTAGATTAGCATGGGAGCAAAATACTTGGGCATCAAAAAGTTATAGCCACCCAAAAGGTAAGATGTTTTACTATTAAGCAAGGTTTAGATCATACCTTCACTAAGTGTGTTCTTGAAGTTAAATGACACCCATATACCATCATCTCTTCTAACATGGAAGAAATGAAACAACCTCTGTCATAAATAACATGATTTTGTATATAGAAAATTCTAAGGAATCACCAAGAAACTATTAGAACTAATAAACAAGTTCAGCAAGTTTGCAGGATACAAGATAAATACTCAAAAATCAAGTGTATTTCTATACACTAGCAATAAACAATCCAAAATGAAATAATTCTATTTACAATAGCATCAAAAAGAATAAAATACTTAATACATTTTTTAAATATAAGACTTGAAAATTAAAAAATGTGGTTTTTTTTGTTTGTTTGTTTTAGTTTTAAGATTTTATTGGGGAATTGGGAGAAAGGAACAGTGTTGGGGAATTGGGGAAGGGGACCAGCCAAGTTCTTCAGTCTTCGTTGTGGAGGGCGCCAGTTGCCATCTGGCTGCCTATGGGCAACTCGTGACTTTTAAGCTCAAGGTGCTGTGTTCAATCTTAGTTGCGGGTGGGTGTAGCCACCATCTCATGTGGGAGTCGAACCCAGCAGCCTTATTGTTAAGAGCGCACGCCCTATCCACTGAGCCATCTGGACGGCAGCTTAGCTCAAGGTGCCGAGTTCAGTCTTAATTGTGGGTGGGCGTAGCCTACCATCAAACAGGCAATCTTGTTGTTACACCAGCTGAGCCATCCTGCCACCTGTTGGCAGCCGAGCAACAGCTCTGCTCGGATGCAGTGTCACTGGCCCATGTGGGAATTGAACGAGTGGCCCTGTTGCTCAAAGCTTGCGCTCTTAAGCCAACTCTTAACCAACTGAGCCACTCGGTCAGCCTAAAAAATATTGTTAAAGGAAATTAAAGAAGTCTTAATGGGAAGACATCCTGTATTTTGGATGACTTGAACAAAATGGCATTACTTAATCTACAGATTCAGTGCAATCCCCATCAAAATTGTAGCTGGCTCTGTAGAAATTAACAAATTGATCCTAATATTAATATGGAAATTCAAGGTACCCAGAATATCTTAAACAGTGTTTTAAAAGAGGAACAAAGTTGAAGGCCTCACACTTCCTGGTTTCAAAAGTACTACAAAGCTACAGTAATCAAGACTGTAATACTGGCAGAGAATAGCTGCTATGGACTGAGTTGTGTCTCCCCAAAATACAAATGTTGAAGCCCTAACCTCCAGTGGGACTTTACGTATTTGAAGATAGGGCCTTTAGGAAGAAATGGAGGTAGGTGAGGTAAGTGAGGCCATGAGGGTAGGGTCCTAATTCTATAGGACTGGTGTCCTTATAAGAAAAGGAAAAGACAACAAGAATTCTCGTGTACAGTGCTTATGCACAGAAAAAAGGCCATGTGAGGACAAACCAGGGACTCCCATCTGCAAGCCAGGAGTAGAGCTCTCACCAAAAACCAACCCTGCTTGCACTTTGAGCTTGGACTTTCAGCCTCCAGACTGTGAAAAACTAAATTTCTGTTGTTTGAGCTACACAGTTTGTGGTATTTTGTCATGGAAGGTGTAGCCGACTAATATAGAAGTCTTTCTCAATACTCATAACAATTTATTATACTTTCAGGTTATATCACTTTTCAAAACCCATCTCATCTTTTTTAAAAAGTTACCTTTTAAAAATTAAATTATAGTTATTTGTATATGTCTTCTCTACTCTAATGTAATATTAGCTCATCAAGAACAGGAATTATGTTTTTAAAAATTGTGTCTTCCTTCCATAGCACCTAAAACTGTGTTTCTGTCCTTTGTTATATAATACATTAAAAAAATAGATAATAGATATTCAGAAGTTGAAGCTGTAAAAATAAACTAGTAGTTGTCAACATTAGGCAGAAGTATCACTTTGTTATTGTCTTTATTTGGAAATTAAATATGGTTTAAGGAAATATATATAGGTGCCAGATTGACAAGGGGTGGACTGTGATTGTTAGTTTTATGTGTCAACTTGGCTGAGCTATACCCAGTTATCCATTCAAATCTTAAGCTTGCTGTTGCTGTGAAGGTGTTTTTAGATGTAATTAACATCTATAATCAGTTGACTTTTATTATTTAAAAAAAATTTTTTTTATTATTAGTTTCAGGTGTACAAAACAATGCAATAGTTATCCTTCTCACCCCTTACAAAGTGACCACTCCCCTCCCCCGATCCACTGTTCCCCATCCCCAATATCATACTTATCTATTACAATTCCATTGACTCCTTTCCCACACTATACTCCACATCCCATGACTATATATGTATCAAATTACAGTTGACATATAATATTATTCAATGGCAGCTTCAGATGTACAGTGCAGTGTTCAGGCCTCTACACCGTCCATGATGTGGTCTCCCTAACAGGACATGAGTCCTTCTGGCCCCCTAAAACATATTTACAACATTATTGATTATATTTCCCAGAATTTATGGTCTGGGGAGTATAATCAGTTGACTTTTAAATAAAGAAGATTATCCTCCATATTCATGGTAGGCCTCATCCAATCACCTGAAAGGCCTTAAAAGCAAAACATTTTTCCTTGAGGAAGACAAAAAAACCCACGTCAATACTGCAATGACAGCTTCTGCCCAAGAGTTAGAAGCATGCGAGCCTACTCTACACATTTGGACTGGCAACCCCCCACAACTGCATGAGCCACTTCCTTGAAATAAATCTCAATATGTATAATCTATTGGTTTTGTTTCTCAAAAGAACCCTGATGTGTGTGTGTGTGTATTTATATATACCTTTTAGTTATTGTATTTATCAATGCCAGAAATGCCATTTGATTCTATTTTGAAATGTCTACCTGTTGAGATTCTGTGTTCATTGAGTCATTGTCATCACAATTTAAATTCTTCATACATGGTTTTATTTAGTTCTTTGAATATATTTATAATAGCTTCTTTGAAGTCTTTGCTAAATCAAACAAATGGGAACATTCAGATACAGTTTTATATATGAGTGTTGGTCATACTTTTTATTTCTTTTCATGTTTCATAATTTTTTTGTGAAAACTGGACATTTTAAATAATATATTGTTGGATGTCTAGATTCTGATTTCCCCCAAAAATGTTGTTCTTCGTTTATTTGTTTGTATTTTAGTCGCTTGACTAGACTACATCTGTAAATTCTGTCTCCTATGCAATGTGTGGCCTCTGGAATGTGTATTCAGGTTTTTGTTTGTTTTTCTTGTTTTTAAGCTTGGCTTCTTAGGGCTCTTCTCTGTGTCTATATAGCTTAGTGTTCAACCAAAGATTGTGTTCAAACACCTCAAGCCAGTCAGACTTTCACTCTCTACTGATGGATCAGTGTGTGCACTGGGGATTACATTCACCACTGAAACTTTTGTCTTTCCTGGCTACCTCTTGAGCCTTCTCACTTCATTTTGCATGTAGCCCAGACATTCTGGGTTCCAGTGGCCCAGAATGTTTGCATGACTTAGACCTACTGCATATGCTCACAGCCTTTGGTCCACTCTGGATATATGGAGAGCTTATCAAGCCCCAAATGACTGTGTCACCTCTGGGAAATTCCTTTAAAGCCCTGCCTACTCGGCTGATCCATTGCTTGCCCCAAACAGGCTGACAATGCCAAGGAAACTGAGCCACCTACCATTCATATTCACTTGTCATTGAGATCACCAGTTTAAATCATAATTCTCCAAATCAGGTGAACCTCCTCTGGCTGCAGCAGCAAGACTTGGTTTTCATGCCCTGGTCCAACCAAGTTAAACCTCTGTGCCAAAAGAACCAATGTGGGGGCATAAGGAATAGCCCCAGGCAAGAACAACAAATTATCTTACTGTTCTTATCTGAAATTCAGTGGTTTTAATGAATAAACACTCCGTTTTTACTATATCTTTAATATTATTCCTCAAGTGCCAAGTGGTTATTTTTGACAGTTTTATTCAGCTTTATAGTTGCTTTTTGGGGAAAGGATGTGTCAGCCTCCTCAGACCATCATGCTGAAGTAAATCTCCACCTTTTAATTTTATCTCCAAAAAAAATATCCTGAGAATTCCCTCCAAAGTCTGAGCAGTAATTGTAGTATCTAGTTTTCTTGGTTGGATGATTTAGGATCCCAAGAATAACAATTTATGGGCCAGCTGAGTGGCACGTTGGTTAAAAACTGGCTTGGGATGCCAGAGGGCCCCGGTTCGGATCCCACATATGAGAGCCAGTGACACTGCCCTCCACAGCTAAGATGCTGAACAACAGCTCAACCTGGAGCTGGGCTGCCGTGAGTCGCCGGCGTCGGTGTAGGCAGCAGCCCCTACTGCAGTGGGTTGCCATGGGCTACCGCGTGTAGCCAGCAGCCAGCCTGAGCGGCCAACAGCTGCTGTGAGCGGTGGTCCAGAAGCAGGCGACTGATCTGCCTCACCCGGGAAGAGCGCAATGATGGTGCCAACTTGGGCCAGTGAAGCAATGTCCTCCACAACTAGACCAAAGAAGAAATAGACAGCAACTTGTCTGTTCCCCTTCCCCCAATTCCCCAGCGCTGTTCCCATACCCCAATTCCCCAATTTAAAAAAAAAAAAAAAGAATAACAATTTACTATTTAGACCTCTAAAGAAGAAGTGACAACTATAGAAATGAGAAAGATGCTTCTTAATTCATAAAGGACCAGGGCTTACTATATTTTGTATATATTATTTTAAAATGTATCATTTGTTGTATAGCTCCTATATTTGGACCTGTATCAACCTTACTTCATAACTGATTTAGTATATTATTATTTTATTTTCAGATTTCAGTTAAGTTCCTATGTCTTCCCCTGAAATTGCTTCCCTTTCATGGGGGCAAATGAAAGTACAAGGTTCAACTAAAACTTACAAGGACTGCAAAGTGTGGCCAGGGGGAAGTCGTGCTTGGGATTGGAGAGAAACAGGAACTGAGGTAAGTAAGTTATTAGTGTTTGGTTGACATTGCATAAGGTTGACCAAGTTATTTCCAACCTCCTAAACTGTAATGACCAAGTGAAATGTAACTCTTTCTCTCTCTCTGTCTCCCTCTTTGAGATATAATTCATATACCATTCAAGTCGCCTTTTAAGTATGCAGTTCAACAGACTTTATTGTCATAAACTTGTGCAATAGTTACCACTACTTCCAGAATATCCTATGACCCCAAAAAGAAACCCCATAAGCATTAGCAGTCACTGCCTATTGTTCTCTCCCCCGAACTCCTGGCAACTACTAATCTACTTCCTGTTGCTATAGTTGTGCCTATTCTAGACATTCCATATAGATTCTGTCAATTCCCTTAGGTTTGTACATAAACCTAGGATTGGAAATGCTGGGTCATATGGTAACACTATGTTTTACCTTTTGAAGAACTGCCAGACTGTTTTGCAAAGCAGCTGCACCATTTTACATTTTAGGAATGTGTGACATTTCCAATTTTTCTAAATGTCTTCTCTCCAACACTTACTATTGTTCATTTTGTCTTGTTTTTATTATACTCTTCTACTGGGTGTGAATTGTTATCTCGTTGTGGTTTGAATTTGCATTTTTCTTGTATTGCACTTCCTCCAGTATTCTCAGTGTGCCATGCCCAAAGTAGAGTCTCCATTTCACGAGTGGAGGTTGGGTGTAAAAAGGGAACCCCTTACCTGTCAACCATACTCATTGGGACTTGACCTCAGCAACAGACAGCTGGAGGCAGGATGTGAAACACTGAAGTCCTATTCCTCCCAGGAAAAAGCCCTTCCAGCTAGCTGGGAGCTGAGAGGAGAAATAGCCCTATGTTCTTGGTTGTAGCACTTTGGAATGGAGTCTCCACCTCACTGAGCTGGGTACAGGGAGGCAGATAGCAGTCTTTCTTTAGCACAGAATCTCACCTTTCCTACCAAATATTTATAGATTTTCTTTTTTTGTTTTTATTCTCCTTTTTGTTTTTAATAGATTTTCTTGAATAGATGTTTTCTCATTTGCTGTTTGCTCTCAGGACCATTTCCAAAGTTTCAATTTTCTAGGTTTGTTTGTTGTTTATTTTAATAATTTTAACTTAAGAGAAAGCTGTGGAGCTTTTGATGCTGTAGTGATGGAAGGTGATCCTTCAGGTTTGAATGATAGTTTTGCTGGATACAGAATTCTTGATTGACAGTCATTTTCTTTCAGCACTTTGAATATGTCATCCCACTGTTTTTTTTGTTTTGTTTTGTTTTTTGGCCTCATTGGTTACTAATTAGAAATCAACTGGTTTTTTTTAAGATTTTATTGGGGAATTGGGGGAAGGGAACACCATGAGAAATCGGGGAAGGGGAACAGAAAAGTTGTTGTCCTTTTGTTCTTCAGTCTAGTTGTGGAGGATGTCGCTTCACTGGCCCATGTTGGTATTATCATTGCGCTCTTCCCAGCTGAGGCAGTCACTCGCTGGCCATTGGACGACCGCTCACGGGGGCTCACAAAAGCGTAAGCCAGCTACCAGCCAGCCCCACTGCAGCCTACACCTTTACAGGCAACTCACGGCAGCCCAGCTCCAGGTCGAGCTGTTGTTTACTATCTTAGCTGCATCACTGGCCCTCATGTGGGATCTGAACTGGGGCCCTGCTGCTCAGAGCTAGCATCCCAAGCCAACTCCTAATCAATGCGCCACTCGGCTGCCCCTCAACTGTTATTCTTATTAAAGTTCCCTTGGACTTGACAAGATGCTTCTTGCAGCTTTCAAAATTCTCTCTTCAGCTTTAGACAGTTTGACTGTAATATGTCTAAGTGTCGATCTCTTTGAGTTTACCCTACTTAGACTATATTGAGCTTTGTGGATGGGGATATTGTTGTTTTTCCTTAAATTTGGGGAGTTTTCAGCCATTATTTCTTCAAATATTTCTCCTGCTCTTTCTATCTCTCCTCTCCTGTACCTCCCATTATGAGTATAATATGATGTCACACAAGTCTCTGAGGCGCTGTTCGTTGTCTTTGTTCTTTTTTCTTTCCTTTTTTCAGATGGATCATCTCAATTGACCTATTTTTCAGTTTTGCTGATTCTTACTTACTGTTGAGTTCCTTTAGTGAAATTTTCATTTTAGTTATTGTACTTTTCAACTCCAGCATTTCTATTTGGTCCTTTAAAATATTATTTTTATCCTTTATTGATATTCTCTATTTGGTGAGATACTGTTCTCAAACTTCCTTTTAGTTTTTGGGGTATGATTTCTGAAACGATTGGAGAGAGGTTTCCTTACATTCCTAGACAATATATGTTCCATTTTCTGCAGTTTGGACTACACAGTCAATACTCAGCCCTGCAGTTTAAACTACTGCTTTTTGCTTATGCAGAGTCTCAAGGTTAGCCAGAATTGTGACTTTATGGCCTTCATATATTATTCCTGAGCACATACACAACCCTGGACATATGTATGGCCTTTTCAACACCAAAGTTCATATCAGATCTTTTCAAAACCCCTTTTGAACATCTCATTTCCCAGTTTTTCCTTTTGAATTTTTTGGTTAACCTCTTGTTTGCCCTGTTATCTACAGCTTCAGGCAGCATCATTTTTTTTTTTAAAGATTTTTATATTGGGGAATTGGGGGGATGGGAACAGAGCTGGGGAATTAGGGGAAGGGGAACAGACAAGTTGCTGTCATTTTGTTCTTCAATCTAGTTGTGGACGACATTGTTTAACTGGCCCAAGTTGGCACCATCATTGTGCTCTTCCCGGGCGAGGCAGATCAGTCGCCGGCTTCTGGACGGCTGCTCACTGCAGCTGCTGGCCGCTCACGCTGGCTGCTGGCTACACACGGTAGCCCATGGCAACCCACTGCCACAGGGGCTGCAGCCTACGCCGTCGCCGGCGACTCACGGCAGCCCAGCTCCAGGTTGAGCTGTTGTTCAGCATCTTAGCTGTAGAGGGCAGTGTCACTGGCCCTCATATGTGGGATCCGAACTGGGGCCCTCTGGCATCCCAAGCCAGTTCTTAACCATCGTGCCACTCGGCCGGCCCAATTCTGACTATTTTTGCTAGTGTTCTCATTGCTTATTGGGGGAGACAATTTCCAGAGATTCTTAATAAATATTTTTACTGACATCACTCAGAAGTAAATATTTCAGGTTCATACTTAAACAGTAGTGTGCTGGATGTGGCTTTAACTGGCTCATGAGAACTGAGTCTTAAATTTTCAGGAATTTTGTAAGCTAGATTTTTAGATGCAGCCATTAAAAACTAAATTATATTTACTTAAATAAACTTACTTACTTAAATAAATAATTTAAAATATAGGCAATACATACTTAAAATTAATTACTTCCTAATTATTTTACTATATTCTGTGCTGTTGAAGTTATTTACATCTCTTGTGATTTGTATAGTGAAAATACTACATGTTCTATTGTACACCTCTTGCTAACTGCTTTCATTGATGTCGCATTGGTATCTTAAAAACATGTATTTTGACATCAACCATGGTGAGAGTATTTATATCACAGAAAACTAAATATTCGGCCTTTTATTTTTTTGTCATTGGTGCTTTATGGCTTTAAATTTTTTATTATTAAACATAAGTTTATTTTATTACAAATTATAAAGAATAATAATATGTACCCACCATTCAAAATAAAATCTTAGAAATAGTTAGATTCCTTTCCCTTTCCTGCCTCCCTTTTCAGTATCCTGAATTTCCTTTATACTTTTCAAATATTTGTATGTATCCAAAACAGTATTTTGTATTGTTCTTCATGTTCAAAGTTTTATATTAATGGTTTCATCTATTGTCCACCTTTTTATTGTTGTTGTTGTTGTATTAAGGTTTTATTATACTTTTGTTTTCCTTTTTTGGAAGTTACCCGTTCTGCAGTTAAGTCCTCACTTAACATCATCGCTAAGTTCTGCAACTTTAAGCAAAACTACATAGCAAAACCAGTTTTACCATGGGCTAATTGATATAAACAAGAGTTAAGTTCCTACAGTATCTCATCATTAGGAAATGATATTGGACGAAATGATGTTATTCGAGGACCTACTGTATTTCTATTTGTTTAGTGGTTGTCTTTGAAATTATAATATGTTTAACCATATGAAATTGACATTTTTGTTGATCAATATTGTGTAAGAATTGACTATCAACAATTTCATGTAACTCATCCTAATATAATCTTAACAGAGTCTAAAATTAATTTTTATCTTTACCTCAGAACACTTTCCTCTCATCACTTCCCTTCCATCTTACATGTTATTATTAGCCAATAATTTAGCTCCTTCAAAAGTAGATATTTTCTTATTATATTATATTATTTATTTATAATGTTGTTTTTTAATTATTACAATCAATGTTTGTTTATATTTACCCACATGTATACCAGTTTTCTTGCTTATCATTCCTTCTTGCAATTTAGATCTTTAGGGATCAATTTCTTTCTTTTTAAAAAAAATAGTATCTTTTTCAAGTTCCTTTAGTAAGGATCTCTTGGTGCACTCTGTTTTCATATGTCTGAAAAGATCCTCATTTATTCATTCTAATTTTTTTGTGTGTTCTATGTTGACAATAGTTTTCCCAGCACTCTATCAGTGGGAATCTTGAATGGTCTATGTCCTTCTTGACATTTGTCCCGACAAAGATTTACATTACTCATTCTTGGCACTCTATATTACTCGTAATATAAGACTGCTAGTTAATTTCTTGACTGGTGCTTCCCAGACCAGCTTGATACTGTACATTTGAACTCCAAACTGATGTGCAAGTGGGTTCGTGATTATAAATTCTCAGGGGAGATTTATTTTTTATCCCCCCAACAAAAGCTTAGGCTGAGGCAGACAGGTTTCCTTGTCTTTTCCCTTTTCCAGTGGGTATTGCTTTTATTCTTTTTTTGGGGGGGGGGTCAATCCTTTCACTGACTATGGGTTTAAGAAGGGTATTCTGCATATTTGGAGGATTGTAAACTGTTCCAATGTCCACCTTGCT